GAATAGACCCTAGCACACAGAGCTACTCCCTGCCCCTTTCTTAGCCAAAAAGGGGTGATATCTATGATCTTATTTAGATATACAGACCAGATCTCTGAGAGGAGCTCGGTTGAGCCCCCCTCGGCAACAGGCTCCGCCCCCCGGCCAGCATGAATCTGTTTTGATAGATGAGATCAGTCCAGCTATGATCATTAGGAACAGATTTTATATACTACGGTTCTTGGTTTATATCATTCCATTAATTGGGCCAAAAACATCCTTCATCTTGAGTGAAGAAACAGTTCAAAACTTTAAGGCTGGTCAAGGATTTTATCATATTGTAAATCAACACCTATTCCAAGATATTTACAACCTGCTTTTCCAAACCAGCTGTGCTTCTTCTTGATTTCCTGACCTCTTGCCAGCAAGAAAAACAAATCAATAAAAGCATACTACTTCAAACATAAAGGAAGAGACATCAGTGAGATAATAATTGAGCTCAACCTTATTTTTTTTTAAAAAACCAGAAGATACAGTAGGAAGTTCCTGTAGAGAAGAAAAAGAATGCCAAAGCTGGACAAAAGAGAAGGATAAGAAAAAAAAAACACCACACACACACACACACACACACACACACACACACACACACACACAAAATCCTCAGCATTTTCAGCCTGTGACTGAAAATAAGCTGTAATGAGACAAACTGGGAGTTTAGTTCTCAATCTAGAGGATAAACAAGAGAAGGAGGGATGCCTGAAATGTGCAGTGAAGGTGCCAAGTGTTTGAAAGCAGTTCTTCAGACAGAGAGGAGCTGGAACCCAAACATGTCATGGAAGGAGTTACAATTGTTTGAGGGAGCTAAGAGAAACACAAGCAACAGCTTCTGTATTGGGCAAACCTGTTGCCATGGCTACCTATCCTATCAAATTTCAGACAGCCCAGAGCTTGTTTGGAATCACAATTTGTGCTGCTTCCATGGGGTAACTGAATCAGTTATTTAAAAGAAACGCTCCTTTAAAAAAAGAAAAGTAAGTATGAATCTTCATCCATTGTATCGTTACAGAAAGTTGAATTAAAACATCCATAGGTTGGGGGGGGTGTGGAATCAAGAGAAAGGAAAGGCCCACGTACTGTTCTGAAGTTTAAAAAAAAAGCTTAAAAGAGATTTTATTTTATATTAGAGCCACATGGTCAAATGATGCAGTTTCCAGCATCAATATTGCTGCTATAATTCGTGCCAACTGAGACAATTATCCTCCTATTCCTCATGGATATTATTGTCCTATGACTTTGGAGTTGCTAACATAGGTGCAGTTAGGACAGAAATGATTAGAATTGGTGCCCTATACAAACTTGGGGAGAGGCATTTTTAGTGAACCTCTCCCCAAGTTTCATCTTCTCCACAGCAAAGTTATCCCGAAGGATTTTCTGATTGCATTGCCTCTTCCTTTGGAAATGGATGAGGAGGGATAATAAATCACCCAGTATAGTTCTGCCTGTACTGCTGTCCCTCCTATGAGGTCCAGTATTTCCTTCTCAAATTCATTTCATTCAATCCTTTGCTGACCTTCAACCGTTCACTCATTCCCTGACAGTGCAAGTCACTGGTTGATTATGCTTGCCTTCAACCTCACTCTCATCATTAGAAGCACACATGTACACACAAAGAATGTTTCTCTTTTTTGTTTATACTTAATTTTTTAAAAAAATCTAAGAATCAAGTTATTATTATTAAAATTACATTAAAGTAATAATCTTAATATATTATTCTAATTTAATGTATCTCCTGTCTGTATCTTACATCTTTTTATGCTCTCTTTTGCTCTGTGCAAGGCATTCAAAGGCTGTTGAAACTGTTATGGTTTAAAAAAAAAAACAGATCCAGGAAAGTACAGACCAATCAGCCTCAATACCTGGGAAGATCCTGAAAAGATAATCAAACAGCAGATCTGCAGACACCTAAAAGCAAGCAAAGTTATAACCAGAAGCCAAGGCGGTTGTCAAAAACAGACCATGTCAATTTCATTCTTTGACAAAATGATTAAATTAGTGGACCAACAAAATGCTGAGGACTTGGATTTCAGTAAGCCATTTGACAATGTAGATTACTACTTCTTGGTAAGTTACAAAACTGTGGGATAGATAGCATCACCACCAGATGGATTTGTAACTGGCTGCCCAACTGCATTCAACATGTAGTCCTTAACAGAACTACATCTACATGGAGGGAAGTAAGTGGTGGGGTATCTCAGGGTTCTGTCTTAGGCCCAGTACTCTTTAATATCCTCATAAATGATTTAGATGTGTGAATAGAAGGGGAACGCAACAAATCTACAGTTAACACCAAGCTAGCAGAGGTAGACAACACCCCAAAAGATAGGCTCAAGATCCAGAAGGATCTCTACAGACCTGAACACTGGGCCCTATCTAATAAAATCAAATTCAATGGAGAGAGAAGTAAGGTTTTAAAGTTAGGCAAGAAAAACCTGTACAAATACAGATTAGGTGAAACCTGGCTCAGTAGCAATAACTGTGAAAGGGATCTTGGAATCCTAGTGAACAATCACTTAAATATGAGTTAGTAGTGTGTTGCAGTCACCAAACAAGCCAACGCAATCCTAGGTTGTGTTAACAGAAGGATAGAATCAAGATCACTTAAAGTGTTAGTACTGCTTTATAATTCCTGGTAAGATCCCACTTGGAATACTGTATCCAATGTTGGTCAACACATTATAAAAAGATGTTGAGACTTTGGAAAGAGTGCAGAGAAGAGCAACAGAGATGATTAGGGGGCTGAAGGCTAAAGCTTATGAAGAACAGTTGTGGGAACTGGATATGTATAGTCTAATAAAAAAGGACTAGGGGTGACATGATAGAAGTGTTGCAATATTTGAGGAGCTGACACAAAAAGGAGGGAGTCAAGCTATTTTCCAAGGCACCTGAGGGAAGGACAAGAAGCAATGGATGGAAACTAATCAAGGAGAGAAGCAACTTAGAACTAAGGACAAATTTCCTGACAGTGAGAATAATTAACCAGTGAAATAGCTTGCTGTCAGAAATTGTGAGTGTTCCATCACTTGAGGCTTTTAAGAAGAAATTGGACAGTCATTTGTATGAAATGGTATAGGATCTCCTGCTTGAGCTGGCTTTGGACTGGAATACATTCAAGGTCCCTTCCAACTCTGTTATTCTGTTAACTCAATAATAGCTTATAATTTTATTGTATAGTACTTAATGTAGATCAAAGTATTCCATTACTCCTTTCTTCCTTCATGTATATTTTCTTATTTGGTGATTTATAATTTGGTACATCATGCTAGACAATGATCTATCTTGTGATGAAAAAAATATTGGTCAGTCTTGTTCTGATTATTTTGTTGATTTAAAACATTTATATGGCTGTCCACCTTATATAAAATAATTCTGGGTGGCTAATGTTTATTGAATAAATGATAAAGACAAAAACATTAAAAACCACTTTTAAATCACAAAGGGCCACAACAATCCCATCTCAGAACCACAATGTTTCCCTCTATTACCGACCCAATGCCTTTCAGAAAACAAGAAGAATAGGGATCACCTGCAATTCATGGGGACGCTATTCCAAAAGGTAGGTGCAGCTACAGAAAAGGCTCACTGCCTAGGTCCCACCCAGTGGTGGGTTTCAAAATATTTTAGAACCTCTTCTGTGGGTGTGGCCTGCTTTATGGGAGTGGCTTGCCGGCCATGTGACTGGGTGGGAGTGGCTTGCCAGCCATGTGACCAAGTAGGAGCGGCTTGGCAGTCATGTGACTGGGTGGGCATGGCCAACTTGTAAAATGTGGTGAATCTCACTTAACAACGCTCTTGCTTAGCAACCAAAATGTTGGTTCAGAAACTCTGGCATTTGAAGCACACAAGTCTTAAAGCTGTCAAGTTACAAGACCTTTACACCCCTAACGCTTTAGGAAAAAAACCCAGGGGTATTCAAACTTGACAGCTTTAAGACTTGTGTGCTTCAAATGCCAGAGTTTCTGAACCAACATTTTGGTTGCTAAGCAAGAGCGTTGTTAAGTGAGATTCACCACATTT